TGCGAGGACAAGGTTATGATAATGGATCTAATATGAAAGGAAAACACCAAGGTGTTCAAAAAAGATTGCTTGATGTAAATCCTAGAGCATTTTATATGCCATGTGGTTGCCATAGTCTTAACTTAGTTTTGTGTGATATGGCAAATTCTTGTCATAAAGCAAAAACTTTTTTTGGAACATGTCAAACAATATACAATGTGTTTGCTAATTCTACTAAACGATGGAATGTTTTACTTGAGTTTATTGATGATTTGACTTTGAAATCTTTGTCTACCACCCGTTGGGAGAGTCATATAGAAAGTGTTAAAGCTATAAAAAGTCAATTTGCTCAAATAAAGGAAACTTTGTTGAAATCATCTCAAGTTAGCGATGATGGAAAATTATGTAGAGATGTTGAATCTTTGGTAAATGGTGAACTTTGAAGTTTTGAATTTATTGTCAGTTTGGTTATTTGGCATGAAATTTTGTATAAGATCAATATATGAAAGGAGAGTGAGTACTTTTATGCCAATCATGAGGTTGGCTCAATTTGGCTCACTCTCTTTTTGCGAAAAAAATGTTTATATACATAATTTACAAAATATTTTTGTCTTAAGTAATAGAGTTGGTTCATTTTAACTTTTCTCTATGTTTGCAAAAATTTTATTCTTGTTAAAAATTCATTTATATCAGTTGACTTTAAAATAATAACGAAAGGTAATGATATGAATTTGCTATATATATTTTATATTATAAAGTTGAATTAAAATTTTTAAAATAATATAACGAACAATTTATTGATTGTTTTAGTTTGTTATAACTGAAATTGAATCTACAGTTATATTTATTATAACTAAACTTGATTATATAACTATAAGTAAAATAAAATAAGCCTATATATAAAGAAGCAACATGTTAAGGTATTGTTGCAAGTCCATGATAATGTGATATATTCGAAGATGGATGTAAGTATCTGAAAGAATGAAAAAAATGAATTTGAGATCAATTATCAATCAATGTCAATATCAATATAATATATTAAAGGAAGAATCAAACAAATAATACAAAATATATAACCATAATTGAAATCAAATCATCCGTTTTTGCTTAAATTCTCAAAACAGGGAACCAAATCCAAAAACTGTTTCCTCAAACACAGTTTCTGCTTAATCTTTTCAAAACAGATTCAAACTTCCAATTCACAAAACATTTTCTTTTAAAACTGTTTAAAAGAGTTTTACTAGATTCTTTTAAATTTCAAACCATCAATACTCCACAATTTACAAAATCAAACAGTAGGTAAAGCTCGCAGTTATTAAAATAGTAGTAATAAAAAAAAACTCACCTTAATATCACATATTCTTCAAGAACTTTTTCAACACAGCAGTTTTTCCTCAATAAATGTTCTTCACCGCCTCAAACTCTTCTTTCTCAAAACAGGTTTCTTATTCTAAAATGATAAGATTGCATCTTATCTTTTTCTTCTATATATATATATAATTCATAGGCGGTAGAAGATGATGATTTAAAATTATTATTTCTTAACCATGAAGTTTGGGTTTAAAAATATTATATTTTATCATGTGAATATTTATAATATCATATTCTATCCATAATCACATAATTCATGCATGCTATCACATAATTCATATAGTAAACACATAAGGTTACCTTGACCCAGGTTTGCAGAAAACCCGGTTATAACATTCCTAAAATTTGTTAGAAGATTACTTCAAATTTTAGTCTATAACATTCCTTTTGAAGATGATATTATCGCCACCGTGCAACATGCGGTTGCAACACTAGTAATAATAAAATGAAGATAACGTCTATAATTAACAATCTCCACAAATAAAAATGACTAATAAACCCACACAATTAAAAAGTGAAAAATACAATTGGTTGGATGAGGTTTGCATAGTTTGTACAAATGGGGATGCTTGTATTAGTTTGATCCTACCATATAATTTTATATATCTATACTACATTAATAAGCATTTAGACGAAAAGTCTTAAGTACTACCTTTAAAGCATTGAGTACTGCTTTTTGAAGCATAAAAACTGAAAATCTCTTAAATACTAATTATGATGCATTAGGTACAAGTCATTAATTCAAGCGTTTTAAACCCAGGCCACCACCAAAAATGGGTATTTCATAAGTTTGCTTTCTTCCCTCAGTCCTCTTCTTCCTTATTTCATATCTATCCATGTGCCAAAACTGTTTTGGGTATAACTCAGAGTTTCTTTTCCCTCTTCTTAGGTTTTTCCTTCTCCATTGATGACTATTCCAACTTCCCAGACCAAATTTGATTCCTGAGAGATGATTCATCCCCAATTATTTGCAGACCCAAGACTCTTCAAATGGCTTTTGAAGTTTCTCCCACTCTTGGTTTTGAAATGCATCTCTCTTCAAATCGTATTCAACATATTCAAATCA